TTGGTCACGCAAAAACTACTAAAAGAATTTGAATGAAATTTGGTACACATATAGTTTAAGATGTGGATTGAGTCATAGGATGCTTTTTATCCCTGAAATATGTTAGATTCCTGTGGGATCTAAAAATTCTGAAGTAAATGCGGCGGAAGTCATAGTACGTTCACAATTTAGTACATGTTATCCTTTGTGAGGTTGTTAGAGCGGCCGCTAATTTATTAGAAAAATTATATTATTTTCTAATAAACTATGAATTCGTCAATTAAAAATAGGTATCATGCTTTAGACACATCTAAGCCGCGCATTTAAAATTAATTATGCCTGTGATTTTCACGAGATGCGACCTAAAAAAGCCCAGACCCGTCCTTTTAAAACCGACAGGATTTCAACTCTATACGTGTAAGCTTTTTATGGGGAAGTGGTATCCGCTGTCTACCTGTCAAATCAATCAAATAAAAAAATGCGTAAGTGTCGCGGAACGCACGGTTGGAACGAAGTTATAGTACGTTACTGCAGTGGCCAGCAAAAGAGGCATTGATGGACGAACGTTTAAATGTGAGACGAGGCGAATCCGAGGCACACATAAGCAAGCCAATCAATACTTTTCTTAAATAATGCGCGGAAATTAAAACTGAGAACCTAGGAAAAAAAATATTATTTAAAAATACATTACCTACTTTTCAAAATCAAAGTCAACAACGAACAACAACACTCATTTATTTGTCTTTTTTTCAATTAACAGTTTCTATTTGCAAATCAGTTCGAAATTCAAATAAAACCTTTGATAAGTTTCCAGGTTTCGCAGTAAAAGATCGTTCCATTTTTAAAATTACACGTCAGATGTGAGTTTACTATGTTATTTCTTTGGCTGCTACAACACGACAGATGTGGATTTTCATACAGCTTTTGCCGGCCGCTGCTTAGTTGTATGTGGCCAGTACAGCAATTTCGATTTATCTCGAAGAAGGTTGTCAAAGTAATGCTCAAATTTCCAAACATTTTTGAGAAAAAAATATTTATATACCATTCACCAATCCGCACTGGGTCCACGTGGCGATTCATGGCCTTATCACCCTATTCCCTAGGGCCTAGTGCCATTTGGGCCTAGAGCTGATTGGGCCCAGTGTCCTCCCCTGTCCCATCTATCATCATCATCATCTCTCATCTCAATATCTCACTATTTTATGCTCTAATGCGGATTGGTACCCACCGAACCGTACTGGGCCCGCATAGTGGGCCTTTTTTTTACAAAATAGTTAGATATTGAGATCGATGGTTACTAATCTCCCCCGGTGGCAAAACTTTGAACCTAGGCCACAGACACCGCTGTCAGCGCTATACATTTCGAAAAGGAACTTCGTTTAAAAAAAAAACACATGTTAGCTAATAGCAGTGATCTATTTTAACCATAGTTCGAACGTGCCGATTCTCTTATACAAATCAATCATATTACAAACTATTCAACCGATTCTCTGATACAAATCGATCATATTACACATTGATAGAATCGGATGATTGGAATCCTTCATCAACTCATGCATCAATTTGGCTTAGGTCAGTGTTAACGCCTGCTTAGTCCGCCTTTCATACGACGCCCTTCAGGTAACAGAAATAATTATAATAAATAAATATTTCTAACATTCACAGCAATTACGAGTAGCCTAGCTCCAAAGTAAGCACTGTAAGGCTTGTGTTATGGGATACCAGGGTAACGGATACAATCATTTATTTTGGCAAAAGATGTAATGTAATGATTTGAGTTGGTTTATTTTTATTTTGTCATTGAGTTTATGAACTTTACTATTTCTTATACATGACCTTAATTAATTTTTAATGCCACAAATCAGGGCACAAAACGACCATGTAATAATTTACTATAAATTAAATCTTGATTTTAAGTATTATATTACAGACAAAAATGCTTGAACTTTCATTGCTTCGAACCCGTGACCTATGAGTAGGCGACACCTTGAGCCCAGCGACTAAACACTCGCGCCAAGGAGGTCGTCATAATAAGAAATGCGACCAATAGTAATTTAACGGGAAAAATATCCGATTTGTATCAACGTAGGTAGATTTATGTAGGTGTCAAATGAATGCTTAAATAGCAGCCATTCTTGTACTAAGAGAAATAAAAAGAACGAATATATTCTTAATACAAATATTTTCAACTTCAAACAATTATGAAAATATTTAATACGTGAAGTTCATTTGATATCCCACTTTGAAGTACCTACACATAGCAGAATGATTACTTAGAAGACAACATATTTAAAAGACGGTGAAAATTTAATACATTCGGGTGATGTTATACAGTTGGAAATTACATTTTCATGAAATGAAATGGGATTTCTCTGATTCACCTAACTTTTATTATTCCTGATTTCAAACGAGCGTAGTATACACTGTTTCAGGTATATAAAATTGATGCACAAAACAGAAACCTACATAAACACTTACCCCCTTAGTGTCGTCGCACACGGGCCACCGACCACAACCACAAAACTCCACCACCGGCATATTTCTTGTAGTTTTCATACATTTTATATGGACTCGCCACACACGGTACGCCGGTGGCCGCCACACGCTACAAATCGTCGTTGCTCGCTTCTTATGGCCCGCACCGGCCACCTAATGCGCCGATACAAAACGCCGCCACACGTAACTCGCGCGATTCCCCACCCCTCTCTCCTTTGCCTTAGTCGGCCGCTGTCGCGCGCTTGAGCCACTTTAATAGCCGTTTCTAGCTTCTCGTGGCGGCGTTTGTAGCTGTGGCGAGTGGCCCGTGTGCGGTGACACTTATTTATAAACGAAGACTGCGTTTGGATTAGTTACTCCATGTTTTTCCTCTGTTTAATAAATGACGAATGGCATTTGATTGACACCAACAAAACATGACGTAACGAGTGTAAGCTTATTCCTTGTTTATTAATAAAGGGTTATGGGTCAATAATCTTAACTGACATACTCTTCGACATTTTAGTATTAATTTAAACTAGCAAACCAGTGAACCAAATGTTCACCAAAACCTGATTTAAAAATGTATTTAATTAATTGAGAACTTCGGAGATTTTGTGTGGTTTCGTTTGAAATTATTTAGTTAAAAAAAAATAACCTTTAAATAGTTAATTAAAATTGTGATAATTACAAAATAGAAATCACGTGATTTCTCGAAAACCGGAAGTGCTACGTTACTCAAATCCGGTTTGTAGTCTTATATTCTTAACTTATAACTTAAACATTCTCTTTATCTATCTCTTACGGTTTGGCCGCTGAAACAGCACCACAGACAGACGGAAGGACGAACGGACGGACTTGTTTAATAGATAAGAGATTAGACTGTTAAGAGATCCTTCTCATATAGTCATAAGTCTTCTCAGACTTATGTGAATCAGTAGGAAACGTAATTTAATACTGCATTGAAAATATTAGGGTCTATCATTCTCATTCATTGACGAAATGTGACCGAAAAAATAAAATTGAATGCATAGTCAGCTATTAATTTACTACACACGACACGAAGTAAAAGCTCATTGCGGGATAGTACAGTTTAAAAGGCTAATGTTGGGTACTCACGCTATATCGTGACGTGACAACTCAAACACGGATAACGTGAATAACGGAGCTACTAACGTTATATTGATTGCGTAATGTTTGGGATTTTTTCAATACGTGACAGTGATTCATAAAATCTTTAAACCCTACACGAGTAAGGCTCTGGACACAGAGAAAAGACGTAACACGCAGACGGCGGCGTGCGGAAAAATGTCTCTTTCGCGTCCTTTTCTTACAAAACTATGAAAGAAGAGTCGCGTCGCAAAATATATAGAAAAAACAGGGCCGTGGACACAGCGCTTCTTTATTTTGTATGTAACTGACACAGAGATGTTAAAGTAATGACAATGTCCGCACCCCGTCTGCGTCTTGCGTCTTCTCTGTGTGTCCCGCGCCTAAGATTTCCGAGACAGGACAAATCTTATCAGTATCGTCAACATTGATCGGAAACAGATTTGGTATTGATTTCTCAATCTAATCTTTTAACGTGTATGTGTTTCGTATCGTATCTATCCGTGTTAATCTCAAAAACAAGAAGATGCGGCAGTGTAATGATAATATGGCAAATGATAAGACGATGAATGTGATGATGATTCATTCACCATCTTCATCGTTAGTCTACGAAAGCATTTTATTGTCCTTAATGCTGGGATAAACACCTCCTTTATGGTCATAATGGCCAGAGACTGTGACTATAACGCACCACGAAAGCACACTTATGGTAGTTATTGCTAACAGAAGTGGGCAACTGTTTTGTCCAAAGCAAGGTGAAGTGTCATTTGTATGGCGGTAAGTTGTTCGTTCGTACATTTACGATGAGGACCTCGATGACGCAGGTGGCTAGCGCGTTCGGCTGCGATCGTTGAACTTTCGCAATGGTCGGTCATTGGATGGGTGATCAAAAATCTTCTATCTCAATTTCCTCCGTGCTCCGGAAGGCACGTTAAGCCGTTGAGCCCGGCTGCATCTGCAGTCGTTAGCACCCGAAAATCCGCACTGGGCCCGAGTGATGGGTCATGGCCCAATCTCCCTATTCCCTCCATAGGGAAGGCCTGTGCCCAGCAGTAGGGACATTAATAGGCTGATGATGATGATGATGACGTTTACGTTAAGTACTAAGTACAATCGATTCATGGTTTTAAACTTTCATACATTATGGTAAAGTGTGTTTTATCGCGGACACGCAAAAATCATGGTACATCGTAGCAATCCTGTAAATAATAATATGAGAATCGATTCATAGTGAACTTCGCCGTGTCTTACCCTACTCTGCCACATTAAAAACATGTACGTTAGAGTAGTATAGACGACGATGGCGATCAAGATATATATCGAACGTCAACGTTGTACAGGGTGCTGTAACGACGAACTTCCAAGACTGTATAATTAAGAATATAGGGCAGCAGAGCAGACAAATTATGAAGAAAATTTGTTTACAATTTACTTACATTGTGTGCCTTCTTTTGCGCCAAACTCCATAAGCATTTTCGCCAAAGGTCGGTTATTGGAGAGAACAGCTACGTCCAGTGGTGATAATCCATCGGTGTTGAGGCTAGAACAAAAAACAAAATATTAATGATTAGCTTAAAACCTACGTGGTTGGTTAGAAGGAGGAAAAATGTAAAGCCGCCAAATTAAGGCATCTGTTTCTTATTATTGACATTCGTGGCCAAGTGGTATATACGCCGGGTTTTTAAGTGTCGCCTGCTTAGAGATCCCTGGTTCAAATCCCGGTAGGGCAAATGTTTGTATGAAGAGTACGAGCATTTGTATCTTAGTCATGGATGTTTAAATGTACTTCTGTATAAATATACTTATATATGTATATCAGTATAATATGTTTACCCTAGTATCCCATAGCACAAGCCTTGCAGTGCTTAGTCTTGTACTATTATGTATTCTGTGGCTAGGCTTATTGGTGTAAGTGTTAGAAATATTTATGTACTTATCATCAACATCATATGTATAGATATTTTGTATATATATAGATATAAAGTGTATTGTACGTGGTAACTTTATGTTTCATTCCCAATAATTTCAGGAATAATACTAGATAACTATGTCAAATAATTTTCTTACTATTAAACTGAATTAAATTGAATTAAACTACATAGTAAGATAGATATAGTAAATATATATAAATATATATATATATAAGTTTTAAGATTTTTATGTGCAAAAATATTATAAATGTGAAATTAACTCTGTTACGTTTTCATAACCAAATAACGAAGCATTTCAGGTAGTTCGTTTATATTTTGATCGGAGTCTAACGTTTGATATAAAACTTTTTAACTGCCTATCCACAAATTATGATAGGGGTTTCTAAAAGCACTGCGCAGCACGCGAATGCTGACTGTTTAAGTCGAAAAACTGCTGCATGAGAAATGTTCGCTAAAAGCAAAAAGCTTTTCGCATTCGACTGGCAATTAGTTTTTGCGCTCATACTAGGTTTCTGTATTAATGGGGGCCAGAACGGAAACGTTCCGCCACCGTGTTGATTTACGAGGGACATGAAAATTGTTGGCTTAAGGGATACTGAAATGTCAGTCAAAGTTTGCGGGCTGTCCAACTATGAGTTGTACTGAGCTTACATGGAGGATGACTTTGCGAATTTTCAGCCAAGTTCACGACAGCAAAGTTGAGATTGAGACATTGTGTTTTATAGCACTATGGCGAAGTTATATTGCATCTTTGTTACACTCTCTAACATCCGAATGAACATAAACAGAGACAAACATACTTTTAAACAAGTTATATGAATTGAAAACTTGCGCGAAAAATACGCTTGAATCAGGCGTTGGATTTGTACACACAGGCATTTTTGGCACCTTGAAAATAATGGTGCATTAAGAAAATTGCTTTTATTTTGCATATTGTTTAAAAGAGCTAAAAAAACAATCTATACCAATCGTTTACTTAAGCGTGTAGGTTTGCGTGTGTGCATAGACAAGTGATTCCTTGTACCAGTAAACTTTCAGGAATCTGTATTTAAAATAAAAAATGTTGTTGTTATACTGAACATTGTAAAATCCGCGACTTTGTACGCATAAAATATCGGTTTCCAATAAGACTTGCATCCTATTTTTAACCAACTTCATGTTTAATTTCACGACAAAATATGTAAAATCCCTTTTATCATTAAAACCAGTGATCTCGCGATATGACAGCGTGTCAGAGTTTCACTTTAACAATACTATTTAATATGGATTGATCGGTTCAAAAGCCGTAGAGCGAAGCGAAGTAAAACAGACATCAATGAATTATATAGTAACAGTAATACGTTAAGTACCATTATTCTCGACTCGTAGCAATAATGTTGTTTCGTAGTGCTGAGCACATGTGTCGCGCGAGTGGCATTATCTTGACGGTTGGATGTTTGCTCATTCGTAAACTTGTAATTCTGTATTGTGTTCTCAGTTTACTTTTGAGGAGTTCATACGTTGTCGCTGGGTGAACTGTATTGCTCTGTTTGCGTAATTTTTTAATGCGAATTAAATTATTGAAAGCGTCTGCTACCGTGGCTGCTAACCATCACCTATATGCGTGTTTGCGACCCTTTTGAACTGACGAAAAAAATGGATGAGGTTATCAAGTCGACACGTATAATATTTGTGTATACTAGAGAAAATTCAATACGGACATTTGGGGCCGCAATAGTATAATGGCCAGTGCATCCGCCTGGGTAGAGGAGGGTGCGATTTCGAGTCCCGTCTGCTGCGTGGTCGGCTACTAAATGTCGACTAAAGATAAAATAGATCTATTTTCTGCTTTTCAGTCTTCTCGGCGGTTTAATTTTCTTGCTAAAAGTTTTTATTTTAACATAACAAAGAAATATACTCGTGTACATACACACATCAAAAGTGTCTAGGGATCAAGCATTTTTATGCGGATTTCTTGAGATTGAGATGTGGCTTTGTAATAAATTTATGATTTTATAAATTTATATGGATCCTTTTTGGTGCATTTCATAATTTGAATCAGGAACTGTGAATCAAATTCGAGTAAAAGATGAAAATCAGCTGTCAATATTTTCCCTATAAAAACATACAACGCATTGAAGACATTATTAGTGCTACTGTTTCCCTACTACTGATTAAAACCAACGTTATTATGGAGCGGCGACGTCATTTAAGCAGGGAAGAAATGCTCAGAGCCGTGGGAATGATAGAAGCTGGTTCCCGGCAACGTACTGTGGCTTTAGCTCTGAATACAAGTCAGAGTGTTATCAGTCGACTTTGGACACGATACCGAAGCACTGGTACCGTGGCTGAGCGCCATGGAGGACGGTATCGCTGCACCACACGGAGACAAGACCGATACATTCAAATCTTAACTAGAAGAGCTCCAACAATAACCGCCATGATGTTAGCCGTGAGGCTTCATCACTCTTCAGGGAACTTAATTAGCGACCAAACAGTCAGAAACCGCTTGCATGAAGTGAACCTTCATTCCCGAAGACCGCTACGGGTACCACCTATAGCAATGCACAATCGTAGGATTCGATATCAATGGGCTCTTGAACACAGAAATTGGGCAGAAGAACAATGGCGTTTCGTGTGCTTTTCTGATGAGTCTCGTTTTGGTATGAGACCGGATACAAGACGTATACGACACTGGAGAACCCCTGGACGCCAACAGCGATTAAAATCCTGCCAGGAAGTCCATCCTTATAGTGGTGGAACCATCATGGTATGGGCGGGTATTTGGATCGGCGGAAGAACTGAGTTGATTTGGATCAGAGGCAACCTCAACGCTCAAATTTATGCTGAGACGATTGTATCAGACGTCATCGTTCCTCTACAAGTGCAAATCGGTCCCTTATTTCAGTTTATGCATGATAATGCACGACCGCACACCGCAAGAGTTGTAAGACAGACTCTCGCCGCAGCTAACATCAATGTCCTGCCCTGGCCTGCTCAGTCGCCAGACTTGAACCCGATTGAGCATGCATGGGATATGCTACAGAGAAGAGCTCTGCCGAATATGGAGGGTATCCAGTCGCAAGAAGACCTTTTTTTGTTGATGCAACGAACATGGGCGGCCATTCCACAGCGTGATTTGGATGAACTCATTTTGAGTATGCCAAACCGATGTTCTTGTGTTGTTAGTGTTCGCGGTAGAAATACGGATTATTAATTGTTTAAGTTACCCAATAAAATTTTAGAGAAAACTGTTATTTCAGTCTTTTTTTCGAACTTTTGTGTTAGTGGTTCAAATGTCAAAAATTCCTTTATTAGGAAAATGGCAAATTTCTTTATTAATGCAAAAGTGACTTGGTTTATCGTTACTGTGACAAACGAAAACACTTTATTTGATGAATCCTTAAAGAAAATTTTAATTAATATCAATCAGGAGAAAAGCTATTGCAAAAATATATGTTGATCCCTAGACACTTTTGATGTGTGTAGTATACAGAAATGATTAGTTTAAATGTTTATTTAAGGGTAAGGTTCGATATTTTATTAGAAATATACAGCCCTGAGTTGCATACAAATGCTTAAGTATTCGTCATAAAAATATTTGCTCTACCGACATTCAAGCCCAAAAGCTCTGAAACACCTAAAAATTATGTTTCAGTCCATCATTGAGTCATTAACATTTACTTGATGTTAATTGAATTAATACACTTGCATCACGTCACCCAAATCTAAGATCTAAATGAGCAAAACGGTTAACTACCCTCTACGGTAGTTACGGCTCAGGAGTCATTAGACCATTCATTGCCGGCGAAACCAAAACTACGTAATACATTAGCTTATATGTTACGCTAGAGGAAAGGCTGAAGTATAGTAGGAGTGTTGTAAAATATAGGTAAGGGATCAGATGATCAGATCTTTACTTGCTACTGACACGGGGAACCTTCAGTTTGAGAATGTACTGATCTATTATATCGTCAGCAAGTCCCTCTTGGAAATGTGCTGAAAGCTGAACCATCCCATATCTCAAGCTATTAAATTTCTATAAGATATGCTTATTAATGTTATAAGTACAATATTAAGAGGTTATTAAATATTTATGTAATTTATAATCCTTCTCACTTTTTTTGTTTGAATTTTCCTTCATTCACCCTAATTCGAGATAGAAAAAACAAATGTCACATATTCTATTCAATTTTGTATGTATATTCATGTATTGTATATTTCTATTGACTTTGCTAAATATCTTATACAAACGTTAAAGTTCAACTTTCTATATTCTTATTGTATGCTTATTACAACTGTTTTGAAACGTCCAAAATGTTTTCCTTGGGTAATCGTGCCATCTTTTTATACGTAAAGAAAAATAGGCGATAAGAACTCCACAACATTCAAATTAATATTATCATTTCACATATATATTATATAATTATATACAAAATAACATGAACGTATCCAAGTAAATAAGCTGAAGTTATAATAAGTATAAATCAAATCAGATACTATACAGTTCATAACATGCAAATAGTTATATGTTCTTACCAAGTACTACTATAATTAGATTCTTAATAATTATACTACAAATTTTGATAGTACAATCAGTTCAACGGGGTTTTATTCTAGCTGCCGAAATTGAGACTTTAAATTGAATAGGGATATTATGATTTTTAAGTATCTGCTTTTAATTAAAAGTTTAGTCACGGACCAAGTTTCAGTCCAAACTTGTGTGAAATTGAACAACAGCAATTTCGCTTGAAGGCGCGAAATTCGACGTATTGTGAACTTCGTCGTGCTGTGGCATGCCAAACTCTACGGATGATGTGAGTTAGGGAAGGATGGATGACGGTGACAGTATATCGAAGCTTCAATAGCTTGCTCGCTTTGCAGCAGGCATTTCTTTTTTGTCTTACCTCTATAGAAGTTTTTATTTTTGCATACTGTTGTTGTATTGTACGTCTTCGTTATTTAATTTGGCCACAGAGATAATTCTAAAATATCCCTCACGGAAATATGGGAGTGTAACTCACTGAAATATTGATGATGTTAAAATAATAACCAAATATAAATCATTATTTTCCAAAGAGATCAAAAAGGTAAAAACGGCTAAATAATTAACTTCAATTGCAGTCAACATTCGCACGGAATTTCTCCAAAAAGGTGCATGCGGATCTCTCAGAATGCCACTACTTTCAGAATGGTGTTGTTACTGCTCCGCACTCTACACATCCGTGATGCTACTTTTTCCGCAAGACGGAATGAAAACCGTCAGTTCGAGCCTTAGCAAACAATCCGCCGGCACTGCAGAAGCGACTGGGACGACTGGGACTGCCCTCCCAACATCATCCCGAAAATATTATTGTACTGCACACGTAGTGTGTTCAACGATTTTTGTTTTAGCTTCGCAGTTCGATCCTTTTTGGTTATTATAGCACCTTTCAGCCGACCCTTAAATATTTTACGAGTCCATGTCTTATATGGACGGTTATGCAATAGCCAGACATGAAAGTTAAACCTAGCCTTTCGGTGAGCTTCACGCACATGTAGATTTACTTTACAAGACCACACAGAACTTTACTTGTATTAATGGTAAAAACGCCTAATTAAGAAAAAGCATGGCGGGTGACCATCCTCCTTACTCTCATAGCCAATTCAAAGAAATATCACATAATCAGACAACAGGATTGAATTCTAATGACGTTAGTTAGGCTTTGGTAAATAAATTATTTATTCTGCCATGATAAGGACATGTAATGATAAACACCGCACATCATAACTTTGTACAGCATAACTTCTTTTGAGTCATAAATGACGACAATTCAGAGAAGAATGTTTCAGTTGAGAAACCTGTTTGTCAGGTTAAAATTTTAAGAAACACCCGCAGGTTATTTAAATTTATTATCTCTCCAGGGACAGTCAGTATCTCTTTAGCGTTACGGAATTTCCTTTGTTGAAATAAAACAAAGCTATAACAATGTAGTTGCATTAATCGCTGCTTTAGTATCACGCTTAGATCTCATAACAGAGCCCAAACTCCGATAAAGGTTTCCTATCTTTACGATGTTTTATGAGTTTAATCTTCTCGTATTCCCATCGCACGCTCTTCGTCAACGTGCTTCAGTGACCGTAAACATTTTTTCTTTTATTTCATTAGAATTGGAAACGAGTAATCGTAATCTAATAACGTAGCTTATACTCTGTTTACGGAAACGAGTTACTACCGATGAAAGCTAAGCGATTCAGTCATTGGCCAGATTGTATTGTTGTTCTTACTCCGGCCAATGGCAGCTTCCTGTCCCATGTGACGCGGTTTTCCATCCTTATCTTTTGGAAACTACTGACTGTAGAAAAATCTCTCCACTAGCTCCTTTTAGGAGAACGTATGTATAGTCGCCTGCTAAACCAGAAGCGTGCTAAATATTAGCGTTATTGACCCTATTAGGAAATACCAACAATAAGGTTAATATAATAAATGGACATTTTAGAATTGAATAGTTCAATATCGAAAAAGTAAAAAGAGAGGCCGGCTGCGGCTATGCAACACCATTATATGTTTATTATACTTCCAATCCTCTGAAGCTTTTGGAACCTTACTCACTGATACTAGGAGCTCGATTTCGCCCGTGGTTAGCGCGTTCGGCTGCGGTCATTGAAGTTGAGCAACTTTCGCAGTGGTCGGTCATTGGATGGGTGACCAAAAATTTACTATCTCGAGCTCCTCCGTGCTTCAGAAGGCACGTTAAGCCGTTGTTCCCGGCTGCATCTGTAGTCGTTAGTACCCACCAACCCGCACTGGGCCCGCGTGGTGGGTCATGGCCCAATCTCCCTAATCCATCCATAGGGAAGGCCTGTGCCCCAGCAGTCGGGACATTAATAGGCAGATGATGATGATGTTGATGCTGACTCACTGATAGTAACTCATCCCTAGCAAAAGATAGCAAATGATATTTCGCTGTGGTCTACCATAAGGTTGGGGTTACTTCATCAGGCGTGCGCTACTACCTCTATTATTCTTGGATTGTTATTAGATATTTACCTGTTAACATCCACATCTGTGGAGTCCAAGATGTTTCTTGCCTTGTCAAGATATCCATGTTCGACGGCCGCAAACAGAGCTGGAACAAAAGAAACCATTTTAGCTAAGTCAAGCCTTTTACAATTTGCTGTCTAGATATTTATAAGAATAAGTACCTACTGCATACGTCTAATGAAAAAAGTGGGTTGTGTCATCTCAAAGAACTGATTCTTTAATGGCCATCGATTTTGATGAATTCAGTGGTGGTGTAGTATAATTTTAAAGTTCATAACCATCTATGGAGTATATTATACATTGTGCAAGAGCTGTAGGTAGGGCATAGTGAATTTTTCCACTCCAATTGGAGTGGCCGCCTGGCAAAGTAACGCCAAAGAAGTCAATAGTGTAAGAAAATTACACAAACATTTAAAACTTCGTTGCTGAAACGGTGAGTTTGGCAGAAGCGCCACATTTTTCTGCCGCACTATTAGATACATTATCAATTACGATTATATTAAAAAAACTGATTGGTAAAGCTATATTACTATCAAATAAAACTAGTTTTAACGAGTTAATGCACGAAACCTTATTTATTTATTGACGTTTCGCAGCCTTTTCAGGTCTGCTTCGTTCGTCGTTGACGTTCTGACGTTTCTGACCATGCAATTGTATGTTAACTTGTGCGATTTTGTCTTGCTGTACACGTGCGTCTTTCTGCTGGCGGCGCGTCACTTTGTCAGAATAATGATTTTTTATTTTAAAATTAAAAATCATTATTCTGACGAAGTAGACCTGAAAAGGCTGCGAAACGTCAATAAATAAATAAAGTTTCGTGCATTAACCCGTTAAAACTAGATTTATTTAATGAGTGATGTGCGTGAAAACCTAAGAAACAAGTATATATTACTATCATTTTTAAATAAAAGTTAATAGAAATTAAAGAAAGCGGACAAAAGAAATAAAAACAAAATAAAGTACCATGCAAATGTATGTTAACTTGTGCGATTTTGTCTTGCTGTGCACGTGCGTCTTTCTGCTGGCGGCGCGTCGCTTTGTCGAGGTGCGGGGGGAGCGGTGCGCACGCACTCAGCGACGGTAGCTCCCCCCCGCACCCCTCTAGCAAAGCGCCGTACTGGAGTTCTATTGGAGGAAAGAAAAAAAAACTCAAAAATAAAATAATTAAAAAGGGGCTGTATGGACTTAGAACCATTGCCCGTCCCAACAGGGAGAAATATGCAAACAATATAAAAAATAACAAAAATGGTTATGTTTCTTGTCGGTAAATAAACAAATAAATATTTCCGACACTCACAGCAATTAGTCTAGCCCCAAAAGTAAGCACTGTAAGGCTTGTGTTATGGGATACTAGGGTAACGGATAGAATACATTATTATTGTACATATATAAGTATATTTATATAGAAATACATATTAAACATCCATGACTGGAGTACAAATGGTCGTATTCATCACAAAAACATCTGCCCGCACCGGGATTAGAACCCGGGACCTCTCGAGTGGGCGACACCATGAAACCCGGCGTACAAACCACTCAGCCTCGGTGGTCGTTAATAATTACGGTAAATGATTATTTTATACGCTTTTAAAAAGTTTATTTCAATTGATTCGGTTGGCTACTGTATTGATTGGTTTATTACTAGAGTACTATTGTGTATAAAAAACAAAACAAAAGAAATTACAATACGGCAAGGAAGTTATGTATAGTGTGACCAAGATCTTTATGAATGTGACGAAAATTGGAACTAACGCCACCGTCTTAGCAAAAGTCATATTTTTTATGTCATCGGTAATTTACGTAGAAAAAAAAAGGAAATTAGATTGTCCAATATGATCTTTTTATTACTCTGACTAGCGCGGTAAATAGTGATGCCAGGTGTCCCGATTTGCGTGGGACGTCCCGATTTTCAGGGGTCTGGGGACGCGTCCCGATTTGTACCCGATCTGGACGCTAAATGTGGACGCTGAATGTCAAAAAATGAAATTTAGGTAATTAATGTAATACTATACTTCTACTAGTAGTTCAAAATGCAATAAATTGAACCCAGACTTAAAACCGTACCGGTTTAAAATAAATCGCACCTGGCAACACTAGCGGCAAATTAAGATATCTTTTGTAAAAGAAAAAAAGAAACTGGTATCATTAACTTTTTTTTATTTTCACGTTTTTTTGCTTGTTTTTGTGTAGGATAACTCCTGTATCGAATTATCCTTATTGTTTTCTGTTTTCAATGGTATATTAATAACTAATGGAATTTTCCACTCGTATTTCATTAGGATGCAACGCACTGCATTTTCTCGTTTGGTGCCAAATAAGTTTAACAAGGTCACATCACACCTATTAAATTGACTACACATACTGTTTTAAGTTAACACAGTCATATATTCGAGCTAGAGAGATCTTATAGATGCGTCTTATCAAAAAAAATTGCTTTCAATAATATTAATCGTAGGAAAAAATATTATATGAGTCCATAGACCTTTCAATGAATAAATTTCATTTTAGTACTTGTAAAATTTCATTTCACTATGCGAATGGATAAAATGATAGTATGAGTAACGAAGTTCCAGGAAATTACAAAGCAAAACCCTACCCTTAACATATTGCACACAGCAAACAATTTTAATTCAACAACACACAATTATGCTGTTACCACAAATGACGAGTCTTTCTTAATCGTTTTTTAATGGATAACTTGATGCGATTACTTAATATCTTAATTGCCTTCAAAAATGCAGTGCATACTACTGCTCTAATAAAACACTTTTTAGTGAATATATTTTATCGTAAAGCACTATTGCCATTTTAATTTTTTATACGTTTTGCGCAATGTAATCGACGTCAAAAAGTAACCTACGTTTGATTCAAGGTAAAAAAAAAACGTAATAACGATAATCAGATCTTCCTATAGCGTTATGGATGGATCTCTTGACATCACTTAACGACATGAAGTGATCTCCAGAAATGTATCGCTCGTTGATCGAAAAACAGCATTCCCTATCGAGAAGTGGGTCCACTCTGTTTCCTTTCCTTCTTTATGTGCTTATTAATTACCTTCAAATGAAGAGGGTCGTTGAAATGCTTAGAGTCTATATTTAATAAATGGAGAGTATCTAGATTAATTATAAAATATAACTAAATACTTGAGCTTAATCTATAGATTGTTAAGGGTTTTAAACTCAGTAAGGGGATGGTTTATGAGGGTACATAATCTCAATACATATTTTTTTATAAATTTGACTTTCGCTTAACCGTACCTTATTTTTTTGATTTAAACTAAATACAACAAATATATTTATTAAAAATGTGAATGTTTTGATAGATTATTATGTTATTCGTAGGTGAAAACGACTGCACGCTAGCACTGCATGTTAAAGCATTAGACGCTTTTTAGTCTCTTGAAAAAATCGACAGGTTTTAAGGTACTACGCATAAAAAAATGAGAAAACGAGTTTTATGTTTGTGACACAAAAATACAGGCTCCACGGGGTAGGGGATGGGGTCAGGGCAACGGCGCGAGGGATATTGTTCGTAACGCTAGCGTCTATAATAGGCTATGGTGGCCGCTTTCCATGAGGCGGGCCTTATTTTTTTTTATAGCTAGTTAGGCAAATGACTCTACCCCACCTGATGTTAAGTGGTGATAAAGTCCAAATGCGAAGATAGATGTAAAAACATAATACCATTTTTATGTAAGTTTTAATAGTTAAAATACACCAAAAAGTAGGTATCTACAGTAACCAATTTTAGTTACTAATTTCCGAAGCCATCAAAGTTTCTGTTTGTCAAACTAACTGAACACGGGCAGCTCCTTACATTGGCATTTAGCTCAAAGTAGTATGGAAATAGTTTAACAGTGCCGCCAGATCCTGAATTGGCGTTGAGAACTAGTTACAAATAAAACTGTCCAGAACTGTAATATAACTTTAACGATTTAGTGATGAGGAAAATTCTGTTCGCAGAACGTGGAGGAAAACAATAAATCTATTTCGTTTCCAAATAAGTAGGTACATTGGTAATGAAAAATGTATTTGATTTATCGAAAATTAAATAGTCGAGATATTTTATCGATAAAGTGATTTTCGTTTTGTATTAAGCATATTATAGTTTTATGTAATTCTAAAGTAACAAATCGATGTAAATAACGATAATTTTCAGAAATAACACCAAGCAAGACGATGTAAGTTTCAGGTTTTTATTTCTGAAATCTATTATTTTTGCTTACGAATTAAGGTAGTGACCAATGACCGATAGGAACCAATCATCTTACATTTTTTTCTGTGATCAGTGTCATTGATCACTAAACTCGTCATTGGTGGAAGGTAGTGGACCTTAGATATTTTCATACTTTTGTCAGTATATTTGAAAATTCACAGGTTAAAACTATACAAAATTCTGTTGAAACTGAACTAGGCGCCGAAAAGATATGCAAGCGCCCCCTACAAATTTTTCTTTGCAGATAGTGAAAATCTGGCAAAAGTCGGGACGGATTTTTATGCAAGGTATAAAGCATTGTAGCTCCAGAAACTGTTGAAGACCTAGCCACCTCCCTCGCGATGGTTTCTAACAAAACCATGGCCCCTGTTATTACAATCTCAATCAAAACCCGAAAGCAAAATTAGAGCAGATTTTTATTAATTATATATGAATGATAGCCCAACCTCAAGGGAATTTTGTGCGCCGAAGCGAAGATTCGCACCGTAGTGTGGACGAGTAATGAAGTAAGTAAGGGCGCTTCTTAACGAGACGGGTTTAAACTTTGTCTACGTCCGGTCATCAGTCAACTATGGGACACTTTTGGTTCGTAAAGGACACCGGCAGCGCTAGCAACAGATTGATAATGATGAAAGTATTAAGAAAAATAAAAATTTATAAATCTGCCGCCATTAAAGGTCACTATGTTAAAACAGACAAATTAAAATTTTGATAGTTATAAGAGCAACTGTTTGCACTTTTGCTTCCAGTCACTTAGGGAGGTATTATATTTAGGCAAATCTAAACTACTTTTATACATCAAAGTCAATGTAATCTTAACATAATAAAAATATATTGTTTTACCTCATTTTTATTTATAAGAAAATAAAGCAAAATATATTATTGCTTCATCAATTGAAATACCGATGATAATTGTTACCGTATATTATACTCTTTATTGCATCAAATAGTTCAAAACAGAAAGTCAAATACATAGTTAACAAAGTGCTTATCTCTAAAAGAGATATTAAGAGTATACGTATAAGGTACAGCCAAAATATACAATCACGAACTCATGAATGCTACGGCTCAGTAAATATAAATTGTTAATCTGACACCGTGTGTACAACCTACGAATTTCTAAATATAAATCCTTAATCGTGTCCTTTACCATTGAGGTCAACTGCAGTAACCTTATTTGGCAACATACAATCCATTACGATTAGGGTTTTGTTATTGATAGATTGACATAAATTTATCATTAAACAAATTTTGTTATAAAGAAGTTTTGAAGGAGGTACTAAATACTTTTTTAACTTTCGCGTTCAAACTTCAAGGAAATAGTCTTTTCATACATATTGGAACATTTGATTTATTAAAAAAACATACCTTCTCGTTCTAATTTACCTTGTTTTAAACTTTCATGGACACAAAAAATATGACTATGATCTACCTTAACAGAAGTAAACGTATTAAAATCAAGTTTTAACGAAATTATAAAATATATTTAATAGTAATTACCTACAGACTAGATACTTAGTTTGTGATTGCATTAATCTCACTATACTTATATTGTAGATACTCCCAACTGCGTAAGCACTCGTGTAACAAACAACTGTCCGAATTAAACTTATGCATACGTTTCCAGCCCAAGGTAGCCAGTCAATACACAAACAATGCACGATCAGCAAACATCAAACGAAAGCATCACGAAATCAATTCCCATAATGACACGAGGTGAAAGGTTCCCACTATTGTGTGACGAACACGTTATTGCAAACCGTTCGTGACTCGATAACGTGCGTAGACGCATCGCGTGGAGACTCGAGCCACAGACTTACTCGATTCCATGTCTAAAAACTACATGAAAGCAAAAGTGATGTATCGTTTCTATTTAGACTTAAGGCGGAAATCGTAGATGTAAGGCC